AAGGGGGTTTTACAATGGGTGTTTGTGTAAACTGTGTGTCACAGAATAAAAAGGCTGCAAGCGGGGGTTGGGGTCGGAGTCGTTTGAGACCGAGGACAGAGTGCTGTTGTTCCCCTTGCTATAGCATGTGAAAATCGATCGATCACTGTTCTTTCTTGCTTTCTGAAGTAGCGGGCCTGCTGAGGTGCAGACCCAACACGGTGTACTAAACATGAGTAATCAATGTACTATGTCCGCATGTATGGAAGGTGTCGCCCTGACACCCTGAACCATTTTTGTGCACGCTTTGAAACAGAAAACTGGCAGCAGAGAGACGATCTACCTTTCTGAGCTAGAGGAGCAGTAATAGCCTCTTCAGGTGAGCTCTACACTGAGGAAAACCAACACCAGCAAGGCTGCAAGACTGGACAGGGTGTCAGATCAGACTGTGAAGTGTGAAATTTGCTGACCAATCTGTAGTTTCTTCGGGGGGGTTTCAGACAGTTTCAACCTGTCACATCAGGTTGCTGTCTGCCCCACATCTTTCATTATTGCCTCTGTGTCTAAAAAGTCAGCTGCCACCTGCAATGTGATTACTGCACTGTTGCACTGACCTCAGTAATTATGCAGCACTTCAAGGACATCATCCCTGCTGGTATTGAGAGCCATCAGTTCACCTATACAGGGAACCAATGCACAGAGGATACAGTCTCAATAGCACACAGCCTGGCGTCACCTGCAGCTGAAGTCAACGAATAGCATCGTTGACTTCAGCTGCCTTTAATACGGTAATCCTGGATAAACTACCACTGAAGCTTCACAACATGGTGTTGTCCACTTCGATGTGCTCCTGAATCAAGGACTTTCTCACCGGTAGGCCTCAGGTGATGAGAATAAGGGACTGTACATCAGCCACTGTGTGCTCAGCCCAGCTCTCACATGACTGTAGTGTCATTCACTGTTCAAATACCTTTGTGAAGTTTGCAGACACCACCATAGAGGGTCTCATGTCAGATAATGAGACTCTCTACAGAGAGGAGCCCCTGTACCTGCCATTACTGTGTTTACCTCTGCAGCAACGATCAAAACCAGGTGTGAAAATGAACCCGGGTTCAATTTAAACGGACTAAACAGCAAAGGTTTGAAAGCACGGCAGAAGAGGGAGAGCTGACAAGACAAACACAGGCTGTCAAAATATCATTAATGCTACATCCGAGGAAAAGGAAATAACAACACTTAACAGGAAGTGAAAATGAGAGTCATGGAAACATAACAGGAAAATGTGAATGAAAGAAGCCACAAAAATAACTTGGCAAGAACCCAGGACTGTGATACAGCTGTTTACTGATGCAGTTTTTAGCCGTGCTGTATTTTTCCTGGAGTCAGTGTTTGAGAACATGGATTGACATGTGATGAATTTACTGAGATTTTCTTTGTTCTGGTGGTTGATTTTGTCATCGTTGTTTGAAATAAATAAATAGTGAAATCGTATAGGAAAACTGTAACAACTTAGACCTTGCCTATGCTTGTATTGCATCATGTGTGCAAAGGCAATTACATGAAATAGTTATATCTATTGTCCATTATATACTTGTGTTTTTGAATTCTGTTTTACTGGGAGTATTTTTAACTGTAAGTGTCTGTACTACCCACAGATTTTCCTTTTTAAAAACATATACAGATAAAACCTTCACTACTAGCCAGTACTGACATTGGCCAAAAAACAGAGGAAAAAAGTTTAGGACCTTTATTGATTCTTCTTCTGTCTGAAATCATTACTTGAAGGCGACTTCAGCATTTCCAATAATGTCTAAGAACTTTGATCTACAAAACCTCTTGGTCTTGGTGGATTTATAGAGGTCCAGGTTAGGGTTTAGGACCACATACCGAGGCAGATGACCCCATCTCCAGTGTACCCCTGTTTACAGGTACAGGTCCTCATTCCCGCTGCCACTTTGGTACAAACGGCAAACTCTGAGCATCCGCCGTTAGACCGGCTGCACAAATCCAGCTCTGAGAGACAGAAAGAGAAAGATGAGGAGAGCATAATCACACTAAAAGACAGGTTTAATGACGCTGTGTGTGTGTGTGTGTGTGTGTGTGTGTGTGTGTGTGTGTGTGTGTTTGCCTTTGCAGTAGGTTCCGTTTCCTTCATATCCAGCCGTGCACACGCAGACAGCAGCTGTTCCCTGTGGCCCTGTTATGCAGCTGCAGCAGAAAAACAAACGGCTCAATATGTGTTTCACATTTTTACTGAAGCTGAGAGCTGTGACTAATAATTTCTATCATTACAAATCATATTTGTGAACAGCGCCCTGCATTACTGTTTATATTCTGTAGTTTTCTTCGCATCATTGATCCTATTACGAGCACAGAATTGAATTTCTAGCCTAACACATATCTCACTGCCGTGGTGCTCCACTGTTGTCAAAAAAGGATTAAAAACACTCAGTGAGCTACTGTTACAACGGACCACATGTCCTTTCATTACTATGAACACACGATGAAAACACTATAGACTCAATCTCACAGACTAGCCCCATCAAACAAACTTACAAAAACCCATCCATCATATAATAAAAGCACATCTCTACAGATTTTTTTAAACACGTTTTTAACATTTAGGGCAATCCAATAATGAAGTGTCTGTGTATTTTAATGCTAAAAAATTATCTGCAAGGTGGTCATTATCTTATGCCTGATCCGTGTATGTTTATGCAGCCCTTCAAGCAGAGCCTTTCTGATTTTATCTTGTCCAGTTCTGAAGCATGACATCTTATTATTTTAAAATCAGATATCACCAATGACGGATGTATTCGACTGATAAACCAAGGGCCCGATACGCCCATAGAGATTTATGGTCTGTTTTACTTTACCCAGAGCCTTCATTCAGGGGGTCGCCCCCTCCTGGCCATTATAAAGAATGCATGTTTAAGGGACTTCTACATGGTGCCTTAAAACCACTGGTCCCCAAACCCACAGGCCACTGGTCTGTAAGTCGTTTGGTACCAGGCTGCGAGAGTTGAAGCTCAGGTGTATAACTTGTGGTTTTCAGGGTTTTTATCAGTTTTTATCGTTATTTTTTTAAAATCGTTTTTATCGTAAACTCTGTTTCCCTGGGTCTTTCTTTACGGATAAATCTTCTTTTTGGTAATGGTACTGGTTTTATTTTGTTGTATTTATCTCCAACACCTTAAAGGCCGGTCCGTGAAAATTTTGTCGGACATAAACCGGTCCGTGGCGCAAAAAACGTTTGGGACCACTGCCTGTATCAAATTACAGATTTAGACCATCCTTTGCCCTCCTGTATCCCCTGCTGCATTTGGTAAACAGGAAGCTCCGGTAAATCTCTGCCTTCATCCAGCTACTTCAGTCAGCAGTGAAATCATCAATAAATGTAATTTCATCTTCACTGGCAGCAATGAGAAAACCTCCAGCATTTTTGAAAAAAAAGAGGTGCTGCTTTGGGTCAGGAGCAGTTCTTTTCACTGCTTCCATAGCAGAGCTTTTGTGGACTGCAGCTTGGCCTGCCTGTTTTTGTGTCAAGGTCACAGAGTGCCTCAGGTGTATTCCTCATGTGTCTGGCAGCCCGGCCCTCCTCTCACTCCCCCGGAGCCCTGATTGCTGATCAGCCTGCACACCTGCTCATCAACTCTGCAGCATATCAAGCCTGGTTCTTCATCACTCATCACCGGGTTGTTATTTCAGCCGGTGCTTGATGAAAGTTCTTCACCATCATGAACTCTGTGCATTTGACTCTTGTGTTGATTCTGATAGTCGAACTAATCTGCTACCCATCTCATGCGCCTGCCAGCCAAACCAGACATGATCTCACCCCCTGCCTTCATCTCCACTCAGCACTAGTTCCCCACCCACCAGCTTCCCTCAACCCTCCCCTGCTGTAATCCTCCTCCACCTCCATCCACCTCCACTCCCTGACTGCAAACAATAAACTCTTTCTTATTCCTTCTACCTTCGATTCTCACTGTTGATCCTAAAGTCAGGAATGCACACAGGTATGTGTCGGCGATCTCACCCAGATTAAGAAACAAAAAACAAAAATCACACTGGCAGCAGAAAGTTCCATCTGTACAGACGTGGCATATTTTTCGCATATTTTTAGTGGCGGAGAACAGAGAGCTGCTTCCAAAATACACTGCGATACATCTGTCAGGATGTGGGTGCAGAAGGGACCCTAATGCAGGACAAAGTTAAACAAAAATTAAAAACGCATTTACTGGCTGATGCACAGTCCAGAAATAAACAAAGTCTGCAAAATGGGAACCAAAACCACAAAGCAGAAATCTAACTAAACACTGAGATCTTGGAAAACAGGAGAAACATAAGCAGCACAACAGGGAGCATTAGTG